ACTTCGTTTTTGGTCGCTGCCATGGTGTTGCAGTTGATATTTTTCGAGGTGGGGTGGTCGTGTGTTTGTTTACAATGTCAGGCGCCAGCTGGCGTTTGTCATATACGTGCCGCGCTACCTCTAGGCTGCAACAACAGAGGTGCGGGGTAAAAGAGAGGAGCAGTGAATATGGATACTAATGTACTGGTAGATGACGTGGAGTGTAATGGACCTCCGGTGCTAATCCGCTGCGGCCTTGTGGCAGCACGCGTGCGGGTAATTCTGAGTCTTTTACTAGACCCTACTGGAAGCTGTGAGATGTCTGTGAGACAGCTGCAACCGTGATAATCAAAACTATGTAATTGGCATCGAAAGTTCAATTGATGCTGAAGATGGATGGGAGGAAATGGGTGAGGTTTATATATGATTCCCAGGTTGACCGCGAGTGCTCGATGTCGCGGATGCCACGCTAGTCTCGGATTATCGCCGCGCCTTGATTGGCTAACGCGTTGTCTCGTTCGACATGGGTGTAGGTATTTACCCTCTAGGCAAACCGTGAAAGTTAGAATTAAGCTAATAGTAGGAAGCCCTTAGAACTCCTTAACTACACCCTTTAAAAAAAAATCTAAAAAGATAGAATTCTTCGTAGTACAATTTTGTACTACTCTTATTTTTCTTAGTATTTATAAGACGCAAGGTTGTAGCTGCGCATCTTATTTCCGACTTTCACGGTTTGCCTAGAGTTACCTAGGTATCTAAATTTACATTGGACAATAGTCACGAGACAATGCATTTTGGAGTTACTAATGCCTATAGCATGCATATACGAGGGATGAAAGCGATAATCTTACCCCAAACAAGTATACCTAGGTATCTTATAGAAGAACAGTCATTCTTGCATACAACTGATGCATGTTACAGTTATACCTAGGTAGTATTACGTGTCCAGAGCCTATGCAATGCACATATGATTTGATACAAAGAGTGAGTCACAGTATTCTAGATAAACATACATGTTAGCCTCTATATGGGATAAGGTTCATGTGGAGCGGGACAAAGTATTTGACGCAAGCCTGAACATGGCAGTTAAGCCGACACATTGTGATACTGAGTTGTGCTCAGGTTATACAACAGTCTGAAGTATGCATCGCATGCTAAGGCAATGTAGATACAAAAATTGATGTATCGTGTACCTTCAGCATAGCGTATCAGCTCATCAAAGAGACGAGTTCATCTGTACATTGAACTCGCCATCACTCGCATGAACAGAACAGAAGCAAAGATTCAGGGAAACATGCCGCATTACATTGCACAGCCATATCCCATCACAGACTACATGTCCATCTCTACAGACACACATATCCGTGTAACCCAACACCAAAATATCCGATACAGTACAAAACCCAACCACTCTACTCATCATCACTCTCCTCCTCCTCATCATCCATCTCCAAATCCTCATCACTCAACCCATCAAGCTCAACCTCCTCTTCCTCCTCTTCATCATCGTCAGCCGCAAACTCCTCTCCACCCTTCTTATCATACTTCTCCCCCTCCTTCCTCTTCCTATCCTCCGTCTTGCGCGCCTCCTCGAGCAACTTAGCCTTCTGCTCCCTACGCTTACGCTGACCCGCCACATACGCGCCGAGCGGACTCTTATCCCACTCTACATCCTTCAAGAACCCATCGACACCCGCACGGTTATTCGGTGCAAACTCAACCTTATTCCTCTTCTCCTCGACCCAACGGGAATTCGCCTCTAGTTTCTGGACGAGCAGCGCGATGAGCGAGGAGACTTTGGTGTTTTTGTTTCCGGAGCTCTTCTTCGTCATGGCTTTGACCCAGCGCTTTAGCATGACGATGACGGGGAGGGCGAGTTCAGGGAAGGCGATATTTTTTGTCCAGAGGATGAAGAATTCGGAGAGGAGTTCGGCGACTTGCTCGCCGATGCCGTCTTGGTAGATGCGTGTGCGCAGGAAGGCTTTGGTTGCGCGGATGCTGATGCTGAAGTCGAGGGCTTTGAGGGTGCTGGGCTTGGGGGGTTTCTTCATCTCAGCCGAGTTGAGGACTTCGACGAGGGCGGGCGCGAGCGGGATGTAGGTGGAGGTTGCTTGGGCGATGCGCAGGAGCGAGCGGATGAGTTGGAAGCGTAGGGGGAAGTATTGCGATGTGGGGATTAGACGCATGGCTCCGAGGGTGACTTGGACGACTGGGTAGATGAGGGGACGGAGTGGTGAGGGTTTGCCGGACTCTGCTTCGCGGAGGGTCTCGCAGTGCATGGAGATGACTCTTGACCAGAAGTCGAGCGAGTGGACGTACTGCCAGTTGTAGACGGTCTTGTAGGAGTCTTTTGTCTTGTTGGTGATGCTTGTGCGTAGGTGTATCGCGAGCTGGCGGATGAAGCCGAAGCCTGTGGTGTAGCCAACAGTGGGATCGATGCCCCAGAGCTCGGCTGCGGTGTTCTTCATCAGGTTGATACCCTGGATGGTGTGGATTGTGGTATTCCTCGCGCTCTTGACGAGGCCCTGGTATACCTGCTTCAAGACAGCCTCGCGGATGCTTGGGTCCGCAATGACTACTAGTCGTCGCAGAACCAAGAAAGCCGACACTCTTGTTCCGTCGTTGTTGGCACTATCCGACCAGACTGATGCGACAGAGCGCACGACCTCGCGCACGACCTTCTTGAAGGACAGAATGTATGGGAGCATGTGGGAGAGCGAGTCTAGCGTCATCTGGAGGGTTTTCGCATCGGACAGGTTCTCAAGGAGGTGATGTATCGAGACGGTATGCGACTTGAGGAGGGGAGTAAGTGTGCGGAACTTCTTCGAGTCGGTAGCAACGCGACTGAGACTGTTAGTGAACATTCTGAAGAAATAGGGTGGTTACTTACATCCTGCCTCCAGCGCTCTCCTTGACGGGCAAGTGATGTTGGAGAACCTTGGGTACTAGGTGAAGAGTGGTTACTTGAACCTGGTGGTATACTATGTTTTGTTAGCCCAGTTGTTTGACGGCTATCGAGTATCATACCATCTGGGTCGGTTATGGAGTACTTGTATGATTTAGTAGCCTCCGAGTCGTTCATGTGTGATGCAGCGCGGAAGGCCAGAACGACCTCCTTCATGGCGCGCAGGGAATGCTTGGTCTCCATAGCAGCCTTCCATTTTTGGATTGTCTTCAGGCCGAGCTCATTGTTCGAGTCTTCCTCGTCGTCGAATGCGCTTTCTTGCGCTTTCTGGGCTTTCTGCTTCTTTCTTGGTGTGGCCTCGTCTTCACTGGCAGACAGAGCGTCAATCTCTGCAAGGTCGGCGTCTTCGGCAAAGTCCAAAAGCTCGGCATCGTTCTCCTTGAGGTACTTGTAGAACTCGGGGTCCTTCTCCGCCAGTCCTTCGAGCTGAGCCTTGTGTGTGTCTGCGTCGTCGCCAGAGTCGCTTTCGGAGCCGGATTCGTCGGTGCCGTCGGGCGCATCTTCCATGTCCTCATCAGAGCCTTCCGACGCATCCTCCTCGACGGGTGTGCGTTTGCGCTTGCCGGTCTTGGGCTTGGTCTTCTTCTTGCTCATCTCGGGGATCTGGAAACCGCCTTGGAAGAACTGGTCCATGGACATTTCGCCCAGGTTGTCGTCCTTGGCGCCATTCGTCTTGGGCTTCTTCGCGGCTTCCTCCTCTAGGTCGTCGGCTTTGGCATTGTCACGGGCCTTGCGCTCCTTCTTCTTGGTGTCCATCTGCTTCCTCTGCTTGACTTTGGCGACATCCTTGCGGCGCTTGATGACGTCGCCGAGCTTGTCCTTCTGGAACTTCTTGGTCGCCTTGGAGACGGGCATGTCGGCGGTATTTGGCGGTTCCTCGAGGGCGAGTGGTGTTGTTGGCCGGGCGTGCAGCTGGCGGTTGAAAAACTTGGGCCTCGAAAAAGTTCCAGCGCTAAGGACCCTGCACTGATTCCTAGCGCCTTCCCCACGCGATGGAGCTGCGGCGCATCGATAACACCAACTGGGCACCACTCAACTAAGCCCGCGACTCTATACGAAAGATTAAGCCATCGCCTTATAATTCATAATGTCCTACGGCAGGCAGCTGGCCTACGCGCCGACGCCCTACATTCCGCGCTCCAATCTCTCGGCGACCATCAACCTTGACGAGGTATGACGCGCCTCAGTCCCACTCCGCATGCGCATACTCACTGTGTACCCAGGAAGTCAAGCTCTCCACGACCAATGCCGAGCGCGACTTGAACGACTCGCTGGCCGAGATCTACAGCATCATCATCACGCTCGACGCCATAGAAAAGGCCTACCTGAAAGACTCCATCGCCGAAGCCGACTACACCGAGACATGCAACCGCTTGATGAAGCAGTACAAGTCCAATCTTGCCAATGAGACTGTCGCGCGAGCATTCGGTGCCCTGGATCAGTTTGCAAGGGAATGGCATGTGCGTCATAGCAAGTCTCGAGCTTCTCCAGTACTAGGCTGACACGACTCCAGATGGAATGTCCACGAGCTATCGAACGACTGCGTGTCGGCATACCCGCTACCATCGAACAGGGACCATCACGGCCAGCTCAGTCAGGCGACTTTGCTGACGCCACGCTGGTCGTCAACGCGACCGAGACCTTCATCACCCTGCTCGACGCTATCAAGATCGGGCTGGTGGAGAAAGACACCCTACACCCTCTCCTTGTCGAGATCATCCAGGCTGTCAACAAGGTCACCGATGTCGAATTCGAGAATAAGGGCAAGATTGTGCAGTGGCTGATCACTCTGAACCAAATGCGGGCCGCCGAGAAACTGAGCGATGAGCAGTCGCGCGAGTTCCAATTCGACATGGACCAAGCATACTACGGCTTTAAGACGACCCTAAAGAAGGCTTGAGATGGGCGAATAGGCAGCGTTGGACTATCAGAATATCTGCTTGTGGTACCTGCATCTTAGCCCCGCGGTGGCTAGCTTGGGCCCACGCTGGACCTGGTGAGTACTGCACCCCACCGACCAACAATTTTCCCGCGCATTCGCCATAGTCGCTTCAAAATGTCCATGTTAGATGGTATACATCTGCGCCTTGCATCTGCATGTCTTGGTGCTAAATCCATGTCTAGTCCTTGACCTACCGCAACTCTACACCAAGCCCTCCGCCGAGGCCCTCCTCGAAACCCTCGCGCTCCTTACCACCGCTCCGCCTTCGTGGGAATATACAAATACAAGACACACAGATCGCCATGGGAAGGCATTGATAGAAGCGCGTGAGCCCGTAGTTCAGGTCAATCCAGAGGGCGTCACACGATACCTCACGACCATTATCAGTAGCGGGCTACAATGGATAGAAGACGATGAGGTCAAGGAGCGCATATGGGATCAAGCCAGCGCGCGCCTCAGTGAGCGATCCGGTCGATCTGCTATGAGCACCATGTCGCGCACTTTCCAGATTCCCACCTCGTCCGACGCATTCGAGCTTAAGATCCACGAGCCTGCCATGACAGGCGACGATCTGGGCCTGAAGACCTGGGCTGCTTCCTATATGCTTGCGAAGCGCCTCAGAACCTTCCATCTCGTCTCCTCGGACACACAAAATCGGCTACAAGTCCTTGAGCTTGGATCGGGTACGGGCTTGGTTGGACTGGCAATGGCAGGCTTGGGCGCAGACGTTGTTTTGACAGATCTGCCCAGCATCTGTCCAAACCTGGCCTACAATGCGCAACAGAATCGGGAGGCCGTCAGTCTCAATGGTGGGACAGTCCGCACAGCTATGCTTGACTGGACAAATCCAACCTCCTGTGAGCCACTGCCAGACGATAACAGTACTGGCGATGACGCGCCCATTCCTGCCAAATTCCCCTTGATTCTTGCTGCAGATTCGCTCTACTCCCCAGACCATCCGCGCATGTTGGTCGATACTATCGGCGTTTGGCTGGCCCCGGACGACAACGCTACAGTGATCATCGAGTTCCCATACAGGGACGCTTACTTGCCTGAAATCAAGGACTTTCGCCGCCGGATGTTAGAGCTCGGGCTACAGGTAGTGGAAGAAGGAGAAGAGAAAGGACGCGATGACTGGGGCCCGTCCGAGGCGAGCGAAGATCAAGACGATGATGCGCTCGTGACTTGCTGGTGGTCATGTTGGAAAAGGCAAAATTCAAAGGCCAGCTGAGATATTCCAACCAAGATTGCCGCACATTACCCTCTCAAAAGACCCGGCGAGCTTACACTAAGGCGAAATGGCAAGGTGTCCCACGAACCGGAACATGCGCAATTCGGTTTGGTCATTCGCATAGCCGCGGCGCTCCATAGCGACCTCGGAGCAACGCCGAGATACCCACTGCAGCTTCCCAAGAACAGTGATGCAAGCGCCGGATAATTAATACGGATAATTTGGACAGCTTCCAGACTCCCGCCTGCAATGGAGGGGCATTTGCTAACCCAGGCGGGATAGCTTGCCGCGAGGGCTTACTAGGATCCACCGTTTGTATCGTCATTAGCATTTCACCTGCGCGTGAGTTTGGAGTGGACGTGTTCTTACTTATTTCTTTCCCAAACAATTGATTCTTTAACGATTGCGACTGAAACTTGAAATTCTCACAATATATCACGATGGCGACACAAACAGCAACCCAGAAGGTATAGCTTGACTGCCCCACCATGCCCCTCCAAACATGCGATACCTTTACAACACCATGAATCTTCGCGCTTCACTCATGTTTACAGCCAACTAACCCACCCCCAGAACCCCTCCTTCATCCTCAAAGCCAAAAACGAAGTCATATACGAAGACCGGCCCATCCCCACGCTCCCCTCCCCCTACGACGTCCTCGTCCGCCCCCGATGGACCGGCATCTGCGGTTCAGACGTACACTACTGGGTCGAAGGCCGAATCGGGCATTTCGTCGTCGAGAAGCCAATGGTGCTCGGCCACGAATCCGCAGGCATCGTGCACGCCGTCGGCGACAAAGTCAAGAGCCTCAAAGTGGGCGATGAAGTCGCCATGGAACCCGGTGTCCCCTGCCGCCGCTGCGTCCGCTGCAAAGACGGAAAATACAATTTGTGTCCTGATATGGCGTTTGCGGCGACGCCGCCGTATGATGGTACGCTCGCGAGGTATTATACGCTGCCGGAGGATTACTGCTATAAATTGCCTGGTAATATGAGTATGGAGGAGGGTGCGCTTATTGAACCTACCGCCGTCGCCGTACACATTACACGGCAGGCTTCTATCAAGCCCGGCGATTCCGTCGTAGTATTCGGTGCCGGGCCTGTTGGTCTACTGTGCTGCGCCGTCGCGAAAGCGTACGGCGCGAAGAAGATCGTCACCGTTGATATCAACGACGAGCGCCTCAACTTTGCGCTCAAGTACGCGGCGAACGCGAGTTTCAAGTCCGCAAGAGTGAGTGCGCAGGAGAATGCTGAGAATCTGGTTAAGGAGTGTGAGCTGGGTATGGGCGCGGATGTTATTATTGATGCGAGTGGCGCGGAGCCGTGTATTCAGACTGCTATTCATGCGTTGAGGATGGGGGGGACTTATGTTCAGGTATGTTGTCACTCCCTTCCTTTACCCATCATACCCACCATACCCAACATATACCCCCTCCCCCTCCCCCCTCCCCCATCCATCCCCTTCACTCATATACTAACACAAACCAGGGCGGCATGGGCAAACCCGACATCAACTTCCCCATCATGGCCATGTGCACCAAGGAACTCAACGTCAAGGGTTCCTTCCGCTACGGCTCCGGCGACTACCAAACCGCCATCGATCTCGTTGCTGGCGGCAGGATCAGTGTCAAGGAGCTTATTACGGGTAAGGTCAAGTTTGATGAGGCGGAGAAGGCGTTTGCGGATGTCAAGGAAGGGAAGGGGATTAAGATTTTGATTGAGGGGCCCGAGGGGCAGTAAAGGTAATTCGATATGTTGATGCCCTTGTTTTTCTGTGGGCCGATTGTAGTATGTAGTGTAGCGGTATGGGGTTTCTTGTGACCAGAATGGCGGCTACGGCTGTGCCATGGTGTTTTTGTAGAGGGTGGGCGGGTTGGTTGGATGGCTCTTTGAGAATATGATGTTATGACCTTGCTTGAACTTACTGTTGCTCGCCCATTGTTTGTGTGGATGGCATTTCCTAGTATAGTAACCCCTCTTCTACCGTTTATTATAGGATATGTCAGTATATGTCGGCACTTTGAATGGAACATACAAACAAGAGACTGAACTACGTCACATCCAAGCTGAGCAGGAGACAGATAATGCACAGGTAGTATGAACAATCGTGTTCTCAATTTTGCTAAATACCGTCAAACAGACGAGCTCTCCCTCAAAAACGCCAATATCTAAATGCTGAAATGCACCTTCACACCAACCACCGCCCTTCATCGTCATCATCGTCATCGTCATCGTCATATACATCATAAACTAACCTCCCACCAGTCAACTCCCCCGTCCACACCTAGTCCAAACTCTGAATCTGCACCTTAATACACCCCGTCTTGGGATCCGCCGCCGTCTTAAACGCCTCAACCGCATCCTCAAGCTTATACCTATGCGTAACCAACTTGCTCAAATCAATAACCCCACTCTTATACAACCGGATAGCCTTGGGCCAGGTATTGCAGTAGCGGTACTGGAACTGCAGATCCACCTCGCGGGTACTCAGTCTCATGAAAGGAATCTTCATCTCGTTCTTGCCGACGCCGATGACGAAGACTTTGCCGCCGAACTTTACGGTTTGGATGGCGGCGCAGATGGAGGATTCGACGCCGGTGCATTCCATGGCGTGGCTGGGCTCGACGCCGTCGGTTAGTTTGAGGATGGCGGATTGGAAATCCGTGGCGCTGTGGCTGAATTCGACTTTGTGGGTTAGGACGCCCGGAACGAGGGTTTTGGCGAAGTCGAGACGGCCTTGGTCGATGTCGGTGATTACGAGGGGGGTCGCGCCAGCCGCTTGACAGCACAGGAGTGTGACGAGGCCGATGGGGCCGGCGCCGCAGACGATGGTGGGGTCACCTAGGCGGATGTTCGCGCGGTCCATGCCAGCAAGCGCAACGGAAAGGGGTTCCAGCATCGCGCCGTCTTCGAACGTCATGCTGTCGGGTAGCTTGTGGCACCACATGGCTGGGTGCTTGAGGTAGCGGCGGAGCAGGCCGGTGACGGGTGGTGTGGACAGGAATTGGACGCGCTCGCAGCCGTTGTAGCGGCCTGTGAGGCAGGGCTCGCATTCGCCGCAGATGATGTTGGGTTCGATGGCTACGCGGTCGCCGGGCTTGAGGTGCGTGACGGATTCGTGGCAGGCCATTACTGTGCCGGCGGATTCGTGCCCGAGGACGTGGGTATCTTCTACGATCATGGGTCCGATGCAGCCCTGGAAATGGGGTTAGCATTTGTTCGTTCTCTGTGTAGCTTTGGAAGCTTTCTGCTGCCGTCAAAACCCCAGGGGCATGGAAAACGTACAGCATGCCAGAAGTGGATATCACTCCCGCAAATTCCCGTGCTCTTGACATTGATAAGAACCTCTCCCGGCTTCAAATCTCCTCCTCTTTGCACAACCTCCAGACTGGGTTCCGCCTCCGCAACCCAGAGGTCATGCGCGGGGTTGGTGTAAACACCGATATTAGCCTTTGACGAGAACTGAACATCCGTGCCGTTGCCATTAGTCTTGCTAACACCGTTCGTCGCCGGCGCAGCAGCAGCAGCCTCAGTATGTGTGCCGTTCATCTTGGTCGTCTCTTCCTTGATGTTGAGTGAGTGCTTAATCTCCGACGCCCAGCTAGTGAAGAGGGGAAGAGAAGCCATGGAACCAAACGCACGAAAAAGGAACGTTTAAAGGTATGCAATCGCAAGGATGGGGATGATGCAAGAAAGGTCCGATAGTAGAAAGGGTAGGTAAACAAAAAACTGGGGGGGACAACCGCGTCAATAAAGATCACCTGGCCACCTTTACTACTCCCGCGGCCCTTCTTTTCTGCCTGTCTGCAAGCGTACGCCTTTACCGCTTGGTGCTTGCCAGCATGTACCTAATCCATTACTATAACCCAGACTTTACCCTTCCGCTCCTTCGCAATTGGTGCGGGGCAACTACGCAAACCGCGCCCGTGAATAATACTTCCATTCATGAGAACGTCACGCCGCCCCGCCATAGCAAGTTGGAGGAAGAACCCCACATAGTCGCGCATCACCAGTCTTTCCACGAATGGGAGGGCAGACAAGTCCGCAAGAAGGGGCAGGTACGCGCAAGTATCGGCTTCCCAGTCTGGCAGTTCCGCGATGCAGTTGGACCCCTTCTACGTTTCCGCCGCGAAGCTACGCGGTGGGGTTGGAGGTGGGTGGCTGCAGCTATACTGCTTCTGGTAGTGTAACCTACACCGAGCCTCCGAGACTAGTAGGACTGAGAAGTCGGATTTCACGATAGTTGGAGACGTGGTGTTGAGTGGAGAAAAAACATGCGTAAACCATGAATAGCGTTTGTGTAGCCTCGGCTCGTGACCGATTCGGGATGGGGATGGAAGTGTTTGTTGGTGTGTTGGCTCGGCGCGTTCACCGATTGATGGGTTCTAGATGCGGCGGTTGGGTTGTCACGCAGGTACGGTGTACGAGGGAAGGATTTAGATGTCACGTTGGCGCAGACAGACAATGGTAGTTAGACTATTGCTGTTCGTTCGTTTTGCTAGGTGGTATGTCATTTATGAAGGAATATTCATGTTGAGGATACCAGGGCGCATACCTTGTCATCGCATGAAAGTCGCGAACACCACCTGCAAACACCCTCGTCTTCTCCAATCCCGAAGACGTACATCCTCGCAATCCACAGAACCATATCAGCCTATAGAACCGCCCACGCCGCATGCACATCAGACTTCCCGTCTATTTCCATCCCCGCGGTCTCCGGTCCGTCGTTGCTGCATGACTGCGCCGCAATATGTGGCGACTGGCGGCTTGACGACGCGCATCGCGCTGGCAGGTGCTATGTATATCCAGGTACACGCACATCGATAATACATGCATGAAGAAAGAGAAGCAGTGGCAGAGAAGCGTTCTTGACGGAAGACGGAAGACGGAAGAGTTATCGCGCGCGCGTATAGGGATTCGGGGTAAGACAGGCAGGCAGCCTTACACATACACACCTACACACCTACACTCGCCTTCCCAATCCCATCAGCGGATGTATCGACCCATCATCGCACCACCTTCATTCTCTAACATCACAGCTTTGATCCTTTGTTATAGCCGCCAAGGTGTTCAGAGTGGAGAGGTGGGATTACTATGGTGGTGCTAAGAGGTCTTGTTTCACCATGCGCATGGTTCGGAAGCTCGTTGTACCGAAGCGAGGCTGCAAGGGACAGAGATGAGGCGAATAGAGGCGTGGTGCATGATTGTTAGAGGTGAGATTGAGTAGGGTACTTGGGTGGAGTGAGGGTGGTTCGATGGTGGGATGTGTTGGAGGTTGGATGTGCTTGGTAAAGGCTTGTCTTACTTGGTGTGTTGGTTCGTGTGATCGAGTCTACCTAGGTACGAGCAAGTATCACCAACACATCGGATATCGAACACATGCGTAAAAGGAACTAGAAGCATGATAGAGGTTTTCAAAAAGTCTAGTTTCTTTCTTTCTTTTGCATAATCCGCATATTGTAGTAAGAACACATGAAAATGGAGTGTACCCTTAGGTTACTACTCTGAAGGCTAATCGTAACAAATACACATCAACCTAATATACGCCTTGACATTTAACCTCGCATACAAAATACACATTCTTGAACAACATCGTCTAGAAATGCTCCTTCCAGAACTTGAAGTTGACCTCCTGGCATGCCGCCTGCTTACACGCCTTCTTGATGTCGCGCGCCGCAACGTTAGGACCGCAGAAGTAGACACCGACCTCTGTGCGTAGCGTGCTTTCCAGACCATTCATATAAGTCCGGTCCAGGATACCATCGCGCATGCCGCAGAACAGGCGCTGGAAGTCGGGACGACCGAAGTTGGTGCGCGACTTGAGTTCTGTGAGGGGATCCTTGTCGGTGCCTACAGAGTTGAGAACAATGTTTTGCGCAGTGTTGACGTCCATCTTCTGGGTGAGGTAAGTGTGAATGCGCAAGAATTGGTCGCCATCTGCGCCGCCGAGCGACTGCGCTTCGAGCGATGAGAGGAGAGTCTGGAACCATTCGAAGGATGAAGTGTCTTTGCAGACCCAGATGAATTCGACACGGCGGAGACGCTTGGGTGGGTTAGGGCTGAGACGGAGGTGGTAGATGGACTTGAGAATTGAGGCCCAGGGTGTGACACCAATACCGGTTCCGATGAGGACTGCGACTTCGTTCTCGAAAACATCCTCTGCGGGGGCTCCGTAGGGTCCGTCGATGCGGAGAGCGGGCATCTTTTGGCCATGCTGAAGTGCTATTTCGTACATGCCCATGGGGTCGAGCTCGTCGTAGAGCTTGGATTGCGATTGACCAGCACCGAGAGCATCGGCAAGTGCGCGAGTGAAGTCACCAACCTGGCGCACGTGAACCGAGATGTAGGGGTCGTTGGGGCAGGAAGTGATGGTAAATGGATGCCACTGGTGGTAGCTGACATCCGGGCAGTTCAGGAAAAGCCATTGTCCGGGCTTGTACTTCATGCTGGGCTTGGTGAACTGAATCTCAACGGCATCTATTCGGCATTAGTGCAGTCCTTCAAAAACAACGTTGATGATCTGCTTACCGTATGGGTGGCGAACAACCTTGACGATCTGGGTCTGGCGTCTGCAACGAATCTCACGGTAGAGGCGATCGAAGAGGTAAAGACCACCTCCCACAAGCTCCCATCGCCATCCTTCGTAACCAATGCAGTGGGTCCAAAAGTTGTCGTGGTCGAATGGAGAGAAAGCTGGAGCGGTATCACGGACGAAGCAGCTGGTTGCGTGTGTGTACATG